TTGAGTAAATCAACCAAGTCCCCTCACCCCACTTAAAGTGGTAAGATGCTGAACTGATACATTTATCAGGTCAGAACACGTGTTTGTTCACTCAGTGTAAGCCTGTCCTGAATACCTTCTTAGGGGCAACAAAAATTCTTTTCTGATTGGGTGAGAAATTTGGTAATGTCCAGTGAGGCCTAAATAAAAGGCTCCACAGAATAAACTAGTTCAGAACCCAAAGGATGTGAAGAAGTATTGAATTAGGAGAGAGCTACCTCTGAAAAGGAATCACTTGGAAGAAAGGATAGTGCCCTCACCTTAGCCTGTATCTCTGCCTTCCTCCTTTGCTTCAAAGGATCAGGAGGTTTTTTCCCATCTTCCTATCAGCATCCTTAGAATAGTTGATGACAGTGTCTGCATTAGGAGCCAAGGACATATTGGAAACAGAGTCAAGGCTCTAAAAATAGCCCAACAAAAAAAAATACACCATAATTAAGGAGACTATCTGGAGGACTCCATGTAAAGGATCTCTGGGAACTGTGAGTTACTTCTCTGCCACATGTCTCCCTAAGCTTGAGTATACTTTCCCCCTGCACTCTGTATATACTTGTGGGACAGTGTATCACAGACTTTATTGGGAAAGTTCTGTACCAATTTTTCTTACTGTAACACCTTAGTAAATACTCCTTTCTAAAAGCTGAATAAGTCTTGCTGCCTAATTGATTATTAATCAACACTCATAGCAGGAAGCATACTAGTGGGGGCTCATGAGCCATAGAATTAAAAAATAATCTATCAACATTCTAGGCTGTGCCAAGAACCCTGAGAGGACAAGTGGTACATGAGCTCTGGGCCCTGACTTGCCAGTGGGAGTGGTGGTGAAGAGAGTAAGTCCAGAGCCTTCCTGCAGGATGAAAGATTTGGAAATGGAAGGGGCATTTGAGGCTATCTATTCCCCCCTCCATTTACAGAGGTCAAAGCTGGAGCTCAGAGTGGTGAAGTAATTTGTCCAAAGTCACACAGGGAATAAATAAGTGCCTTCTCAACTGTGAGATTTAGGGGCAGCTAGGTGATGCAGTGGATGAAGCTCTGGCCTTAGAGTCAGGAGGACCTGAGTTCAAATTTGGCCTCAGACACTTGATACTTACTAGCTGTGTGGCCTTGGGCAAGTCACTTAGCCCCGATTGCCTCACAAAAAAAAAAAGTGAGAAAAAAACTGTAGAATCAGGTCCTCTGATTCTACATCCAGTGAATGTTAGTCTGTGCCATGCTGAAACATGAAACTAGGAACTTGGAGCTGTAGGAGATTCAAATGGAGGCTAAGGAGAGAAGTGATGAGACCAGCCACAGGCAGCAGCCATGGGGAGCCAGCAATGAGAAGCCAGCTGCTAGGAACAGACAGAGTTCTGCAACTGACAGCACTCACTAGCCTGCAGGGAGGTTCCCTAGCATCTGCCATAAGTAACTGTTGTATTCCCTACAGCTGTGTTGTGAAGGCCAAGGGTTTAATTGGAAATGTGGCTAGACCTCCCCAGGAGACATCATGTTGATACAATATATGGCAGCCATTTGGGAATGGGTGCTGGGAGCTTTAATACCTGATTTAATTCTATTGTTATTCTGCTTTGAATGCAAAATGTCTTTGCCTTGAATTTGGAATTGCTTGGTTTTGGTGGATTATAAAGTATCAATGGGGCTCCTAAACAGGAGGCTTACCGGTCAGTAATACTGCCTACCTCCATGATGGAAACACGTCTAGCCACATGGGTGATATTAGCAAGACACTAGACCTCCATGGGCCCTTGTTTCCTCATTTCTACAATGAAGAGACTAAACTGGATGGTATCTGATCCCCTTCAGCTTTACATACATAATCCATGATCTTACAATCACAAAAGTATGGGATACCCAGGAATAGTTGAGAAGGGACCACATTGAGAAGAACCCCAAAAGGGTATATTATTAAAGTCCTGCCTCTAAGGCAAGGACTCATAACCCTGTATCTTATAATCTACACCCCCAAATTGGGACCTAATAACTGGTTGTGGTTCTAGCCCTCCCACTAATCCACTGTGGGCTCCTTGTACAAAGCATTGAACCAAGTCTGGTCAAAAGGACTTGAGGCAAAAGTAGAGGAATGTTTCATTAGAGAGACTTTGGGAGGCTTCCATTCCCCTCAATATCTCCAGCCTACCTTTCACCCCTACAATTCCCTATGTCACATACTTGACACTCTACTCAAAGTAAACCACTGCTGCATTTTACAAAGATGTCTCACGTTTCCTGTCTGTAGTCACACCACTTTCTATGCCTGCATTCTTCCACACCACACTTTCCCACTTTTGTCTCTATTTGTCCAAATCTTACTCAACAACCGCCAAAGCCAAGTTCAAAAGTCAAATCTTCCATGTCAAATCCTCTCCCTCCTCCTCTGAACTCCCCTAGTACTTTCGTTGCTCTACTTAAGCACTTAACATATCATATTTCGGATTGTTTTTGTGTATTTTTTATATTTTAATGTGTTTATATTTTTAAATATAAAATGTGATTTTTATTCATCTTTTAGAAGTCCCATAGTGCCTAGGCCAGGTCTTCACAACTAGGAGTGCTCTAAAATATTTACCTATATTCCACCATCAGTGATTAATGCCTTCAATTTAATGATTTAAAAGGTCCTACTGAAATGCACATACCCCTAGGAGGATGAAACGATGAAGACATTCTGGACTCCAGGAATTTGATATCTCACTATGTTGCCTTAGAAGATCTTGACATTCAAGACCCTCTTCAATATGGCTACAACCTACCCTTCTAACCTCATCTCCCACCACTTCTCTTCATGTACTCTGCCTTCTAGTCATATTGTACAATTATCTCTATCCCATTATCTTCCTATGTAGCCCAACGTGGATGCCACCTTCTCCGTGAAATTTTCCCCAACAGAGTACCCCAAGTAAAAGGGATCTTTCCCTCATATTTCTCATGGCATTTTTCCTAGACTTCTCTCTTGCCTTTGTCATACTCTCCTTGTATATTATTACCTGTCATTGTTATTATTATAAACAACAATAAAGATTATAGCATTTATATAGCACTTACTATACGCCAGGCATGGTGCTAAGTTCTTTATAAATATTATCTTATTTGATCCTCACGAGAACCCTGAGAAATAGGTGACATTACCCTCATTTTATAGTTGAGGAAACTGAAGCAAAGGTTAAATGACTTGCCCAGGGTCACACACTTAGGCTTTCCTGACTCCATGCCCAGTGCCCTATCCACTGCACCACCACATATACATCTTGAATGCTCTTTCACTCACCACACAATTCTCTAGACTTCTCTTTCTTCTCCTCTTTCTCCATCTCCTCCTCTTCCTTCTCTTCCTCTTTAGCTTCCTCCTCCTCCTCCTCACCACTGCCTTTCACCCTGGAGCAACCTCGACCCAGAAGCCCTACTCTTCTGAGGGGTGACTGCTTGCCCAAAACACTATTTCAGGAGAAGCCCAGCCACACTTCACTTCACTCATGACTCGATGTTCCAGACTTTTCTTCTTCTCACCAGCCATCTTACTCCAACCCATTTGTACCTTCAACATCTCAAGCTCCCCAATTTCCAGCTCCCCTTCATGTCTTCTCTTTTCTCCTTAGAATATAAGCTTCTTGAGAGTAGGGACTACTTTACTTACTTGCATTTGTATTCCAAGCACTTTGTACAATGCTCCACACAAAGTAAACACTAAGTATGTCATCTAGTACCACTCAGGGGCTTAATAAATATATTTTCAACAGAATTGAACTAAAAGCTCACAGTAGAATAAAGTACACAACAGAATAACCCAGCTAGTCAGTCAGTAAACATGTATTAAGCATCGACTATGTTCCAGGCATTGTACTAAATTCTGGGAATATAAAAAAAGCAAATAGATAGTCCCTGCTCTCATGAAACTCACAGAGAGAGCACATGCAAAAAAAAAAAAACCTATGTACAAACAAGCTTTATACAGGATAAATTGGATGTAATCAACAGAGGGAAAGCACTAGAATTAAGAAGCATCAGGAAAGGCTTCCTTGCAGAAAGTGGATAAAGCAAGAGATCCAGAATTTAGATAATACCAGATAAAGAAAGGCCTGGTCAGGTGCCACAGTTGGTGCATCCAGGAAACCCAGAGACTCTGGGTATTGAGGAAGAGAAATTGTGAAGAAGCATCACAGAATTATCAATTTAGAGCTAAAAAAAGATCTCAGAGGCCATTAAGTTCAACCTCTTCATTTTACAAATGAAGAAACTGAGGCATGTGGGAGTTAAGTGGCTTGCCCAGCATTATAAAACTAGGAAGTAGCTAAGATGGGACTTGAACTCATGTCTTCCTGCTTCCAAGTCCTGTGTCCTACACAGTGGGCCAGGCTGCTTCAGTAAGAAAGGGGAGGAAAGGGCATAGAAATAGAGAGACTGATGATGCCTAAGACAAATTCCCTTGACTTCCCAGTCTTCTTAAAGTCAAGCCCTATATTTTTCTCTCTGTACCCCAAATAGTCTTATTTATCTGGGGTTCCCCTAGATTCTTCTGTTAGCTGAATGTTCTTCTTTCTGAGATGTGGATCTAGTTATATTCTCAAATCTATTTAAACTCTGCTCAGCTATCTTTTCCTAGGTCCTTTCCTTAGGCCGCATTCAGAAGTGTCTGCTCAAGCAAAACTTTCAGCCACTGAGAAATCTGGCCCTTTACTAATTAGCTCTGTCAGCATTCCCTGTAGAATCTTAAATTTGAGAACGAGAAACACACATTTGAAGACTCTAGGATAGGGTGAGCAATTTATCCTTTTCAAGATTTTAAATTGCTTTTGTTAAATACTTTAAAATACAATTAGTGCACAAAACCAATGTTCCCAATACAGAGCCCTGTCATTACAATCCCTCAACATTTTTCTGTTCAGCAAATTTGCCTTTTTTAGGCTCTTAACTCTAATATGTTTCTAACATTTTGAATAACACTTGCCTTCCCTGCTCTCCATCAGGGTCTCAAGAGCTATGTAATCTAAAAAATGGTGCCTGAGAATGCAAGATCCAAGTCAGAGATGACTTCAATTTAATTCCACAGATGCTAAGCACCTACTTTGTGTAAAACCCTGAGGTAGGTGCTATAACCCAGAGGTGTCAAACATGGGCCTGCCAGCCACATTTTGGGGGGGCCAAATGGGGCAGAACCAGATCCAAATGTAATTGGGAAATATTTAACAAAATAAATAAAAATATAATAGAAATAGATAATACTGATATGTGGTTTTCTGAGTCAATACAAGGCCCAGCAATCCTTGTATACGGTTTAGTTGCTCCATTTTTATTTGACATCACTATAGATAATACAAAATATAAAATGCATTCTCTGCCCTCATTGGTGTTTATGGTTTATTTGGGGAATGTGTATTTATACATATATATAAAACAGAGAACAGTGCATTCCTCAGTATGAAAGCCAAAATGCATAGTAAAGAGCATAAACACAGTGAGAGTATAAGAAGAGTAGAATTGGGTATGTGTTAGGGCAGTGAAGGAAAGCTTATTGGAGGCAAAGCAGAAATAGAGACAAGAAGGTTGGAGTAGTATTTGAATAGGTAGAAAGAGGAAGAGAGTACTCCACACAGGGAAACAATATATTCTGAAAATGTAAGTACCTTGAGAACAGGGACTATTTTTTTTTATCTCTAGTATCTTACTCATTGCTGTACACACACTTAATAAATATTTTTTAATAAAAATGAGCAAAAACATGCAAGCAGGAATGAACAAGGCATGGGCAAGGGGCAGAGAAAAAGCTAGCCTGATTCACTTCATATAAAACTGAACCCTAGAAAGTAACATTAAGGTTGAGAAAGTGGGCAAGCTTGGAGCTTAACTAATTCTCACCTTTGGTTAGTTTCCAAAAAAAAAATGAGTTATAGGATAATTCTACAATAATAGATCGACAGACTCTATAATATATAACTCTATAATAATGCATCTATAGACTTTTTCCTTAAACAGCTAAGGTACATGTGATTACTTTGAGGCCACCTCCAAACAATGGCAGTTAATTGCTACAGTATTTTCTACACAGCCACATACTTTCTCATGCTTCAGCACAACCCACCATGAGTCTGTACTTCAAGTTACCATTTAGCTACACCAGAGGTAGCTAGCAATTGAAATCCATCCTGTATCTAGATTTGCATCTCTTGTGATTCTAGTTTTTCAGATTCCTACTCTATTCATGAAAAGTTCCCAAATATTGGAAGAAAACCCTACCAGATAGGCCAAAAGGTAACATAGCAAGCAAGCTGTTTGTGCTATATAGTCAAAATATGCATATATTATGTTTAAATGTAAATGGTACTAATTACATGGTTTTATTGGGCTTTCATCAGTTTCCCTCTTATTTTGACTATATTTATTGAGAACACTATCATCCTAATAATTAGGGAAGTGCAAATTAAAGCAATTCTGAGTTTCTACCTCATACCTATCAGACTGCCAATGATGACAAAAGAAAAGAAGAAATGTTGCAGCTCGTGGGAAAACAGGCGCACCAGTGCACTGTTACTGGAGCTATGCTTTAGTCCAGTCTTTCTGGAAAGCAATTTGGAACTTTGCCAAGAAAGTTGCCAGAGTTTTGATCCAGCTATAGCACTACTTGGCCTATACCCCCCCCCCAAAGATATCAAAGCAACAGGGAAAGGATTTATATGAACAAAAATATTTATAACCGATCTTTTCATGTTAGCCAAAAACTGGAAACTAAAAGGGTGGACGTTTATTGGGAGATTGCTAAACAAATTGTATTTTGTGAATGTAATGGAATATTACTGTGCCATAAATGATGAAATGGACAACCTCAGAGGAAACTGAGACTTATGAATTGACACAGAGTGAAGTGAGCAGAACTAGAAGAACAATAATAATGTTCCTTCAATGACCCCTTCCAACCAGGGTGCTCCCTCACCCAGGAGACTCCTTCCTTCTCTTAGGTGAATCACTATATTCTCTTAGGCGAGTTATTATCATAATCTTTTCAGGGCATTGAGAGAGGAACTCTAACTCCTAGGCACATCATTTAAGGGCCCCTTGCCCTTGCCCAGTTGCTCCCCTAATCACTTTCAGGGGAGGAATCCTTCCTGGCTGATCAGAGAGGCAGGGAACCACCAGAATATTGTTTTAGAATTTAGAGAAAGACTGATGAGTTTTCTGTTTCATATTAGTCCAAAGACTTCAGAGTAGTAACTTTTAAATGCTTTCTTTAAAAAAATAATTTTAAATTTTTATTTAAATTTTATATTAGATTCTAATACTGTAGAATAATATGTTAAATATTCAAATTGATTTTTAAAAATAATCTAAAAGGGGGGAACAGGAGAGCTTTGTCTGTTTGCACAATACATTTTATAAATACTTATCTATGTTCATATTGTTTTCATTCAGTAGAATGTAAATTCCCTAAGGGCAGTGACTCATTTTTTTTTTGTTCTTCTATTCTAAGTACTTGTTCAATAAATTCTTGTTGAATGGAATCGAAAACATTCTGATTGGAGACATAAGCTTAGCACCTCATAAAGGATACTCAACATAGATTTAAAATGGAAGAGATCTCCTGTGGATGGTAAAGTCCTCTACATGTTCTTATTTGTGTGCAAACTATGATAACTCATGCAGTTAGACAGATAACCCATAGAGCACTACAGATATCCTGGAAAAATACTATACAAATGGATAATCAATTGGGCCCAGAATTTAATTGGAGGAGAATGAATTTTGTTATTTTTGGGAAAACAGTGTTTTTAATGGCCTCCAGCTCCTCTCAGAAACAAAAGCAATCTTTTCTTTAAAGTCCCAAATATTCCTTCAGCAATGCTGTGTGGTTGCAAATCATGGAATAGAATAATTTATAGAGAATCAAATTTGTAGGTTACACAAAAAGCGATGGAAAGGTCCGTAGAGAGTATAAATGGGTTACAGCATATTACCAGCCAAAAAAAATATACACACACACAAGAAGGATAAAGAGATACATAATTGAAAAAGGGATGAGGCAGCAGCTAGGTGGCACAGTGTACCTAGTCAGGAGTCAGGAGGACCTGAGTTCAAATCCAGCCTCAGACACATAACACTTACTAGCTCTGTGACTCTGGGCAAGTCACTTAACCCCAGTTGCCTTGCTAGAAAAAGAAACAAAAAAGGAAAAAAAAAGAAAAAGGGATTGGGGTGGCTACATTGCAAGAGTATGAAACAAAAGACTGGCAGCCCATATATTCCACTGGTATCCATGAAACGTCACAAGGTATAGATAATGACACCCAACTCACCCAGGAATCATGTAGATTCCCTGTAGAGAACTTACATGTATGACTTTTGGCAAATCACTTAACCCCTGGGCCTCACCTTCATCATATGTGAAATATGGGAGTTGGACTAGATGACCTCTGAGGTCCTTTTCAGCTCTCATTATATTCATAGGGGAGGACATGGGCAAGAGAAGCACAGGATGAGGAAAGACCACTGATTAAAAATTGACCTTCACTGGCAGAGGAAATGTTGTATTAGTGAGACCAACAATCCCTTAAAATACACAAGTAAAGGCAATGACAGTATGAACTTTTTTAAGGGCTTTTTTAAAAAATAAATTCATTTATACACTTTTACATGAAAAATCATACATGTTAACAAAAGTATACTTAACACAAAATTTATGTATACATTTCAACAACAGAAAAAATACCTTTAAAAAGTACATTTTCTTAAGCAGTTTGTTGATCCTTAATAGATAACCCAGAGGCAAGTTAGCCCCACTCCACATGTTTCTGTTTCTCTCCAAAGTTAGCTTTTAAAGATACAGTTTATTTATAAAACATTCTAAATATTCTTAGCCCCCAGATGAGAGTGATCTCAGATCACTAGGCTAGAGACAAAGATCTGAGACCTGTAATTCTAAATATTCCAAAAGCTACTGGCTTCCCCACATTTACACTCCTTACTTACAAAGATTCACACTCAGAAAACAATCAAGATCAGGTGTAATTTTTATGTAAAGCAAGAAAAAAAATTTTAAATGCTATTGAAATGACATGGAACTTAAATAGAACAAAGAACACTTAGAAGTAAACAGTGCTAGTCAAGTAATGATAAAGCAAACGAAAAAAAAAAATTGAGTGAATCCATTCACTATATCCCAGCAGTGTTTCAGTGTAAGCACAGTTCAATCACTTCCCAGATGGCTTCTTTCAAGCCAAGCAGAGCAGTAAATGAGGAAAGGTTCCATACGCTTAGAGCTGATGGTCAGTTCTCATGCATAGTCTCTCACTGCTGCTTCTGCTGCTAGTGCTGGAGCCACTGCTCTCCATCTCCTTCTTAGAGTAGTTTAAAAACTTCTAGAATTTGCAGGACCCTGATCAGTCCTGTCCAATCTCTTTCCCAGGAGGGAAGATTACACTGTCTCTTTTAGACAATGTGCTACATTTCCCAGGGATCCTTGCACCTAGTCCCCGGAGTCTTGCTTTGCCTATACTTATATCTATATTTGTAACAGAGAAATAAGGGTCATCCACTGAGAAAACGGTATAGTGCATGAATTATGCATTCAAATGCTGGGTGTGGTAGCACGTGTATATAATCCCTGCTATAGGAGACAACAAAACTGGTAGATCACTTCAGCATAGAAGTTCTGGGTTGTAGTGGACTAAAGTAGAATGGATGTCCACACAAAGTTTTACAGCAATATGGTGAGCTCCCAAGACTAGGGGGTTAGCAGACTCCCTAAGGAGCCCATGTCTGTTCATTCCTCCTTAGATAACCTGATAACCCCACCCCACTCCTGGAGGGTCACTGTATTGGTGCCAGAGAGTGCAAACACTTGATTGGTTTTAGCCCTACCACAGCTCAGAACAACTGAGCTCAAGAGATCCATCAGTCTCAGCCTTCCCAGTAGTGGGGGTTATAGACATATGCCACAATGCTCAGCCTAAGCATATATTCTTAAAATATAACCAGGTATAGCCGTGGTTTTTATGACCATTAACATATGCCTCTAGCTTCTCCAAACCTGTGTTATTATATAAATTAACTGAGAAAAGAAGGGGGGAAAAGCTTTGGCATGTGAAATTGAATTGAAGAAAGGATTTCAGAGGAGTAAATTCCAACTTGACTCATGTATCTCAAAGAAAGTTGTAGAAATATTCTGACAGTACTTCACACAACACACACATACACACGCCTGCACATACACATACCTCACATTCACTCAGAAACTCAACTCAGGCTTCGATTACTAAAAAGTTGGACAAAAAGCCTCCCCAGTGATGACAATGGCTATTCCCAAAGGGCATAATCCTGTTTGCCTCTGAAAAAATCTACTGTCTATAATCCTATGTTTTCTACATAATCAAGTCACAGTTTCTGGGACACATTTTTTTCCCCTCTGTGAATTCAATTTCCTATTTAACAACTGGTCCTTTGAAATGTAACTTCTTTGTGCAATTTCATTCTGTTACCAAGTTAGAAATAACTGGGCCTCCATTGCCCAAGATTAAATGCTTCAGAAGCACCATAATATACATCTCCCACCTCTGAAACCTGTTAGATGGATAACCTTGTTGCAGTGACATTGTAGCCTTTTAGTGACACCCCCTTCCTTTAACAGATATTTATTTAAGTTGGCTCTGTTGTATGAAATAAGGTTTCAAAGGGTTCTGGAACAAAGGAAAATCTGAGCATTTGACAGCTCTGTTCTTTTATCAAGTCAATTTTTCCTGCCTTTGGCTCACTGCAAATTCTTTCTTTTTATTAAGTTCTTTTCCCCCTTTATCCTATGTCCATTCAAAAGAGGCTTCTGCCTGAGACTGACTCTTGATAAATGCCATTACATCACACACCTGGGAAGAGGTGTGGAAATTGTTCAGAGAGATTTGCAGAAAATAGCCCAGATGAAAAAGAGGATACAACGTTGATCAGAAAAAAGGGGAAGGAGTTCCCAGGGGTGGTAGGAGAGGAAACCAAAGGGTTGTAGGCTCTCCACTCAAACCAAAGACAAGTGAATAAAAAAGGTCAGAGAGAAGGAATCGTGTCTAGTTAGGTCTGGGGAGATTCCAGGGAGAAAGGGATGATGTTTAATGTATAACCGTGAGCTCATTTTCTCCAGATTTCCCAAAGAGTTCAGTCAATCTTGTTATACCAGTTTCATAAAGGGCACTTGCAGCAGCAGGTGAATTCCCTTTGCTCTGGCCTCCAAGGACTTCATGAAAATGGGAAACCAGTATTGATTGAGTCATTCCATTCAGTTGAAAGTAGACACTATCCATTCTCCTCAAACCTTGAAAACATTACATCTCAGGATACACTTTACAAATATTATCTCATTTGGTAAGAAAGAAAGAAAATATGAAGGGAGGAGAAAGAATGGAAGAAAGGAATGGAAGGAGGGAAGGAAGGAAGGAAGGAAGGAAGGAAGGAAGGAAGGTAAGAAGTCAAGAGGTCAGACTTCCTGTCCTAACCCTGCAATTGACATTTGGCCTTGGGCAAGTCACTCTCACTCTCTATATCTCAATTTCCTCACCTGTAAAATAAGAGGATTGGACAAAATAATCTATAAGGTCTTTTACAGTTCTACACTTATTATGTATCTGAGTTGTAACATTCTTTTATTCTGTATATTCTGATGTCTATGAGCCAGGGAAAAGAGGACATATTCTCACTCTAGCACTATTCTAGGTACTATGAAAAATGATTCTCAGAGCTTCCCCCCATTCCCCCCTTCTCTAAAGTTCTTCAGAATGACATTACTGATAATGAGATTGCATTGGAAGCTGCTCAGGCTTCGGTGGAGACAGATCCTTCTGCCTAGATAGCCCAAGGTTGGGAATGATCTGGTATGGTTGGGGGAGTGATATGATAAAAGAAGTATTTCCTCTGTCAGGAAGTGGGGTGATATCAGCCCCTGTTGGTCTTTGACCAGGATTAAGTGACCTAAGGCACATACTCAAGACCCTCATTTTAATATAGCCCACCTACCAGTGTGTTGACCAATCAGAGTTGATTGGCACCCCTTGAGAACACCTATTCTTTGAAGGGCATATAACTCTGTACTCCCAGCTCCCAAACTGAGCCAGTTCTGGACTGTAACTCCCATGCATTGCATGTTGTCATCTTCATAGAAATTAATACATAGACACACAACCTACTTTATTTGGTTTTTTTAGAATTAACTCTGTTTTGGGATTGATTAATGCCCTGCTACTTCTATCCCACCTACACACACACACACACACACACACACACACACACACACACACACACATACACACACACACACACACACACACACACACACACTCTGCTTTACTCCCTTCAAGCCTGTGCTGTCCTGAAAGTGCCTAGACTTTTTATTTTACTTCCCACACAACCTTCTCAAAAAAGCTTATTCTCAGGGCAGGTAGGTGGCACAGTGGATAGAGTACCAGCCCTGGAGTCAGGAGGACCTGAGTTCAAATCCAGACTCAGACATTTGACAATCACTAGCTGTGTGACCCTGGGCAAGTCACTTAACCCCACTGCCTAGCAAAAAAAAAAAAAGCTTATTCTCATTATGTTCCACCATCTCAGAGACCTGGTTCTTTGCTTTCCTAGGAGATAAGCACCATGGTCCTACAAGAATGGGATGCAGAACAAGCAAATTTTGAGGAGCCAGGGTGGGGAGACAAGTCTAGAGCTCCAGAATTTTAATGATAGATCTGGTTCCCTGACCCTGAAGCTCTTTAGGCTGGGCTCTTTATTTCCTACTTATAATCTCAGTCGTCCTCCAGCTCTGAGACCAATTGATCCTTAGGCAGGGAAAAGAGGACTTCTGGGTCCATCACTCAGAGAAATTAGCCTCAGATCACTTTTTTTGTTGATCCCTCTCCAACTAATCTTGCACCCTGGTTCTAGCAAATGGGCTTTAGGTATCCATTATGACAGACCCTAAAATTTGTATGACTTGGTGCCAGACTCTGACTTGTTCCCCTGTGTCAAAGTCCCTCTCTCACTAACTATCTTACTCCATACCTCAGTTCCTATGGGACTGGGGCCATACTTAGCTCTCAATAGTCCTCCCAAGGACTGAAACTCTAATTGACATTCAAACCACCTGATCTTGTGAGATCTCTATGATCCCCACAACCTTCCATCCAATTATCCTGATGCCCTCCCCTCCTTGCTTACCATAATATCACTTACTGCCCACCTTGTATCATGTCAGTTATCTGATGCCATGGCTCCCTTGGTACCCAAGTTACATGTCTAGATTTTCTCCTACTGCCCTGTTCTGCATCTTCCCCAACTATTCACCATGGTTGGTGTCCTGTGTGGTCAAGGGGCAATAAGATGATACTAGATACAGGGCAGAAGGTAGGGGTACATAGTAATGCACAAAGAGGAAAAGAATTATGAAGAGGGAGTAAGAGGTGGAAGGGTACAAAAACAAAGTTTGCCGCATCCTATGTTTTCACTTCTCAGATTCCTTTTCTCTTTGATAGAAGAGAATTTGAGGTGGCCTGAGAGCCTTGGGTGCCTAGAAAAGGAAGGAAAAATGACAGAATCAGGCATTTAAACTTCCCAGATACAATATTTTTGCTCACGGTCAGGCTCTTCACAATAGACATGTGCTCCTTTCACCCTCTCCTAGTAATACCAGCCAGATCCCCAAAGTTACAATACACACAAAAGTCCAGAGTCTTTTAGACTCTTCTTCCTCCCTATAAAGAATTTCAATCAACAAGGCACAGAACACCAAGGAACCTAGAATGGGAATGGCTTAATATAGTTTGAGAAGCTTAATATAGTTTCAGCAAGTGCTTTCAAGGTTGGTAAGAGACAGTGCCGCTCTTTAGCGAACACTTCATTTTAATGGTACATTTAACTAATGCCAAATTATAGGGGTTTCTGTCGAGCATGCGTATGACATGCATATCAATACCAAGCAAATTCATTTTCATTGGTATCATTAGCAAGAACATTAGAGGCAGGAGGTGGTTTTAAATGCCTGCTGCTTTTTATTTGGATTCTGCCTCTGCCTAAATACACCGAAGACATTGCTCTGCAATGTTCTTACCAAGATTCCATTACAGCTTTCTCCCACACTGAGGATTGCATTTAAGTCCCTAGAGTAAGTATGAAATTCATAACAATGGATTGTTAGACTGATTTTCTACAATGCTGCTTGCTGAAGGTGAGAACATATTCCCCATCAAGGTGCCCCAAGCAAGGGCAGCCCTTGGCAAAACTGTTAAGTAGATGAAGCTTATTTTTGGTCTCCTCCTATCCCCACTGCAGCATCTTTCCCCCTATACTCCCCATACCCTTCTGCTGACCCCTCGATGTTCAGAGTTACTACCACAGCATGCTCTTTTTGTGGGGAGTGTTCTATGTCCTGGACCTAGCCTTATCTCTTTGTTTTTCTCAAAATCTATTATCATCAGTTTAACCCAGTTCAGACAAAGGGATTAATGACTAATAATTATTTAATGTGCTAGTCCTCCTAGGGTCATCAGCATCTTACAAGGATATAATATTTTTAGATTAGGTTTTCTAATCTCACTCAGTGATTACTCACAGACCCAAACCCACGGCTGATCAAGCTTTGTCCTGCTCTGTTTCCAAAATAGGTCACTCTACCCCTACTTATGCAATCTGGGCATACTCTCACTCCTGGGCCCTCACCATCCTGGTGCCAGCCTTAGCAAGGATGCTCTATCTTCTTAAGTGATTCACCAGACTCAGCCTCTCCAGTAACAGGGATTATAGTTGTGCATCACCATGCCTAGCATCAAAAACAAGAAAAAAAAATTCTTAACCGTAAAAAATTACTTTCTAATAGGAGAATTTCAGGCACTGAAATTTCAGGCATTTTGGAAAAGAAGACCCTGCCTAGTCACTCTTTAAACCACACTATGTATTTATCTATTCATTATAACAACTGTAGTTCCAGGTCCACTAAGGTTTGTTTTTATAAAGGAAGGTAAAGAGGGTGAGAATTCTTTTAGAACTTAAGCTAAATTTGGCTAAATCTCAAAGGCTCACACAATCAACAGATGGTTATTAAGCTACTATTATGAGCAAGATGTTATGCAGGTATTCTAAGGAATACAAGGTGAAAAGTTTGATCCTTACCCTTAAGGAGCTTGCAACCTCAATGGAGAAAGAAGATAAACATGTGAAAACTTAAATAGCATTTGATAAATAATTGTTCTATATAAGACAAAAGACAATACATCAGCAGCTACCAAATGAATGAAATAGACAATGTATACCAACCATTTTCATCATCAACATCAATATTAACAACATTTATTGAACACATGATTTTTCAGGGTCTTGAAAGGCAGACTGATTAAAAATGCACACATATAAACACAGACCATGTTCAGTTATGCCTCAGAGATTACCCACGGTAGTTCTATGAACCCATCTATAAATGATTTCAGTACCCTGGGATGTAATTCACCTAGACCTGCAGAAGTGGACTCATTTAAAGTGACTAGGCACTATCTGACTCTCTCATCACCTAGTTGAGACTTCAGTTCCCTCTTATCTTCATTTGTTCTACCCTTTACAATTTGAAGATCATTCTCCTTAATAGACAGGAGGGAAAATATTCATTTTTCTGACATCTGTTAATTTTACATTATCTTCTCTGAGCAAAGGGATTATCCTTTCTGTGTTTTTCTTCTTATTCTGAACAGTCCTTTTTTGTTATTGTTCTCATATTTCACGGGCCTCATTTATCCTATTCTGAGCTTTAACCACCCAGATGCAGTTCTTAAACACACAAGCATAGTGACTACATATATACAACCTCCATACTTCAGGCTTCCAAATGTTTCTATAGAATTCAGGTCTATCTGTTGGATTATTTTGTTTTGTTTTGTTTTGTTTTTTGGTGAGGCAATTGTGGTTAAGTGACTTTCCTAGGGTCACTAGTGAATGTTATGTGTCTGAGGCCGGATTTGAACTCAGGTCCCCCTGTCACCAGGGCCGGTGCTCCCACAGGCCTATCTGTTGGCAAGTCCACTGGGGAGTCATATCCCCATTTCCTGAAACTGTCTCCAAAACATGAAATTATTTTTGGTTTTTCCACAAACTCCCAAAGACAAGATATTGAACTAACAGTATCATACCCATCTTCTTAACATGTGCCAGGCAGGATGAAATGAAAATGGGTTTAACCTGTGTACGTTACCCAGCTATTATAGTTTCTTTAAAGAGCTCACAAGATGGATGTGATATTATTGAGAGAAAGCTATAGGCAGGTTGCCAGGATAACTTCCTGTTTGGGGGTAGGAAAAGGTATTTGTGCATTATAAACTTATGCCTCTGTAACTGCTATCTTTTTTCTAAGCAACCTATATGAAAGAAGGAAAGAAATTTCTCAGAGTGCAAAAGGAGGTGCTGGCAAGGCTGAATAAGAAGGAAGTGCCCTGAGAGCTAATTGGGGTGTTCAGGAAGTACTTATCACTTTCTCTCACATGAGTGATAGACAGTTAAAAGTTGGAATGAAATTCCCTTGGTGAGTAGAGCAGGATGAGTTGTAGATAAGCCCTGATGTATTTCGGCACTTAAAGCAGGTAATAAAAGGTCTGTCTTGTTACTGCATGGGTCATAGGATGAGTGAAAGCACCTATGTGTTCTTTTTGATACTAAAGCTACTAGCACAGTAAGTGAAGATTTAAAATAAAATACATGAAACTATGATTAAATTACAAATATGCTACATTGTACCTAGGAAATTGTATTTCTTTGAATTTTGCTCTACATCATATATTTTCTTTTTTAAAATTAGTAAGTCAAATTTACAACTCAGCAATCTACAGTTATCCCTTCCACATCCCGACTTTCCCCATCTCGCCACTGGACCCAGATGGCTCTGAAGGAGAAAGTGAGACTGGTGACTTCGCACAGTCCTCCCTCACTTAAATCCAATTCACTTGCATGTCATGGCATCACCTCCCTAATGCCATGGTCCTCTTCGAGAACGACAGACAAACAACAACCTCACAGTTTCAATACATCACAGGTCGGCATAAGAAATTAAATAGGAATTTTGGAGGAGTTTTACAGAAGCTGCAGATGACACACAAAGTCCAGCAGATGACACAGAGCCTATGACCAAATACTTAACCCAAATTTTACAGTAAGAGTCTGTAAATACCCCATAAAAGAAAAAGAAAAAATTCAGACTTCTCCTCTGGTACAAAGGGCGGGCCAAAACATTTTATGCAGATTTTACAGATCTCAGGGGTGCCATCTCCTAACCCCTGTGATGTGGAAGGGATAACTGTAGTTTAATGAAGAAAGCACTGTATGTGGAATCATCTAACACTTAGGGCTTGATGGGATCTTGTTCAGGCGTTCCAGTTGTATACAACTCTTCATGACCCCATCTGTAGCTTTGTTGGCAGAATACTGAAGTGGTTTGCCATTTCCTTCTCCAGCTCATTTTGCAGATGAAGAAAAATGAGGCAGAGTTAAGTGACTTGCCCAGGGTCACACAGCTAGTAAGTGTCTGAGGCTGGATTTGAATTCAGGACTTCCTGACTCTAGGCCTGGTGTTCTATCCACTGTGCCCTGCTGATGGGATCTTAGAGATCATCTATTCCAATGCTTTAATTTTGGAAATGAAGAAACTAGGACCAAAAGAAAAAAGTGACTTATTCAAAGTCGCGTAGATAGTAAGCAATAGGACTAGCATTCTGATATAATTTGTACAAACTCTGACTCCAAGACTGCCATTCTTTCTCCTTCACAATTCTTAAGTCCTGGTTTGAGCCCCAAGTCTATGTCTCTCCCCTTTTTACTGGGTGACCTTTGGGTAAGACATTCAATTTAATTGAACTTCAGTCTCCACATCTATAAAAGGTGTACAATAACATTTTCTTTATCTCCCTCAGGGTTGGGCTATTATGAGGATTAAAAATAATATAAATGGAAATTTGTTGAAATATGTAATGTTCTATAAACATTGTATAATGGATCTCTGGTCTCATTTATATAGAACCAAACTCCAGTGCTGAAGATCAGAACCCAAATAGACCTGGCCATCCTATGTGACTCTTATCCATGTCTTCCCTTAAACTCATGGAAGGGGCTTTCCCTCAGCCAGCATACTCCAATTCTCTTAATATTGTGTTAGGTACCAATGGAGCTTGTAGCTATCTCTTGGTTATTTGTTACTCTTGATATATGACCAATCCATCTTTTGCCGTTGTTGTTCAGTCATTTCAGTCATGTCTGACTCTTTATGACCCCATTTTGGGTTTTTCTTGGCAAAGATACTGAAGTGGTTTGCTATTTGCTTCTCCAACTCATTTTACACATAAGAAAATTGAGGCAAACAGGGTTAAGTGACTTATCCATGGTCACACAACACAGCTAGTAAGTGTCTAAGGCCAGATTGAACTGAAGATGAGTCTTCCTGAGTTCAGGCCCAGCACCCTATCTATCATGCCCATCTTTTATTGCCTGCCATTTATGACAACTTTTACCTGATTTTTCTTTTTTTCTTTTTAATTTATGAAATAAATAAGAATTTCCATAACAGTAGAATTTTTTTTAAAAAATGATGTTACATGAAACTGCAAATCTATTACATACAACTTACTATTTTTAAAAATATCTAATAAAGTTATCATGTAACATCTTTTTCCTTTTTTTCTTCCCTCCCCTCCCCCCCACCAGAGATGGCTACCATTAGACACAAATGTGTGTGTGTCATTATACATACATATATACATATGTGTATATGTGTGTAAAATCATTCTGTACACCTATTTATCAGTTCTTTCTCTGGATGCACATAGTGTCTTCCTTCATAGGTCTTCAGAAATTAATTTGGGTATTTATAATAGTCAAAATGACTTAATTGCTCAAAGTATGCTTGGTACAAGAGGAGAAAGAAAACAATGTATGCTTTACACATACTTTTAAATTTAACTCACATTATTAAAAATGTCTTCAATTTGGACAATCTACAAAACAGTAAATGAAAAACTGATTTGTAGTGATTACCAGTTCCTGAGGTACAAAGGTTCCCACTGAAAATAACAATCTTGCCATGCCATCAAACTACAAAAGAATTATTTTATAGATCTAGAAAAAATAACAACAAAACTCATCTGCAAGAAGAAAAGGTCAAGAATATCAAGGAAATCAATGGAAAAAGATGTGAAGAAAGGCAGCCTAGCAATACCAGATTTCAAATTATATTACAAAGTGGTAATCATGAAAATAACCTGGTACTGGATAAGAAATCAGTGGTGGAGCAGTGAAATAGATTAGGTATATAATACACCATAGTAAAGACAATAGTAATCTAGTGTTTGATAAATGCAAAGATCCAAGCTTTTGGGACAAGGACTCACTATTTGACAAAAACTGCTGGGAAAACTGGAAAGAAGTTTAGCAGAAACTAAGTATAAAGAAATATCTCATACCATACACCAAGATAATGTCAAAATGGATACATGATTTATACATAAAGGGTGATATCATAAGCAAATTAGGGGATTAAGGAATATTTTGCCTATCAGATCCATGGGTAAGGGAAAAATTTATGACCAAACAGGTGATAGTGAGCATTATTGGATGTAAAATGGATAATTTTTATTACCTTAAGTTGAAAAAGTTTTACACAAACAAAACTAATACAGCCAACACCAGAAGGAAAGCAGAAAACTGGGAGACATTTTTTTACAGGAGGTTTCTCTGATAAAGGCCTCGTTTATCAAATATATAGAGAACTGGGCCAAATTTATAAGAATATAT